AGTGTCCGAAACGTCAGAGCCGTTGAGGTGGCTTTTTACAAAGTACCCCACAACTTTGGTTTGTTTTCGATATGGACAAGTAGTTCAATATTCGAGTTTTTCGGCCAGAAATGCTGGACTGCTCTAGACTGGACTCTGGATTTATGTTTTTGAATAATGATGCCGTTTTGAACAGATAATTATTATTTGATAATTAACAGTTATATTTCTGTCAAACAGCTTATGACAAAAACTTTTCCAACTATACAGGATGTATGCAAGCGTCAAAATATACTTTTTCCACAGAATGTTGTTAGTCCATGCTACCATTATACTGGGAGTTTATCATAGAAGGATTTGAAAAGATATGATTGAGAATCGAAACTGGAGTGTTCACTAAGAATGGAAGGGCAAAACTGGCAAATAGCATTACATGCAATCTTTAGGAGGCTCCATAGGGTTTTTGCTCAATGTTGACGCCCCAGCGTAATTGCTTTTTAGAAAATGTTTACGCATACGCAAAGTTTGGATCGTTCGGTCAGGCCACTTAATTGCTCCATTCTCCGATGCCTTAATAGGGTAAATTGGTGTACTTTTGGAATAATGATATAATTCTAGGGAAACATAAAGATGTAAAAACATAAAGACAAACTGTTACCTTCCTCCGGAATGTCCTTCCTCTTGACATTAGGTCATCCCTTTGGATCCAACTGCTTCTACCTTGAATTTCATGATGAAATGGAGCAATTCAAAATTTTGTCGCCAGAGTATTTCAAAGGGGATCAACGAAATTCTCATAGGTATAGCTTCTTCAATACATCAGGGACATAATTGGCTAGCTGTTAGAAACCCATCTCTTATACACAGTTCAAGATCTCTACACTACATAAAGACAGTCCAGTTTCCAAATCAGTTTTCACTCTCTTTTGTTTTTTTTTGATGGACCAAGTCTTATCATTCCAGAGAAGGACTGAGGAAGAGACTTAATGGTGACACTGACGTTATGGGTGAAGCCAACTCCATTGTGGTCAGCTCTTGGTCACCCACCTCTTGTACACAGTCTAAGATCCATTCAGCCCAGTAGGACAGTCCAGTTTCCAAAACAATTTTCACACACTTCTCTTGGTTTTTTGGTAGACTGAGTCTTAGCATCCCAGATCAAGACTGAGGAAGAGGCTTAATAGTGATGCTGACACCATTGTGGGTTAAAAATTAGTCGCTCATCTCTTGTGCACAGTTCAATATCAGTTCAGTGCAGCAAGACAGTCCAGTTTTCAAAACAGTTTTCACACACTTCTCTTTGTTTTTTGGTGGACCACGTCTTAGCATCCCAGATCAAGACTAAGGAAGACACTTAATGGGTGAAGCTGACTCTATTACAGGTCAGCTGTTACTCACCCATCTCTTTTACACAGTTCAAGATCCTTTCAGTGCAGTACGACAGTCCACTTTTCAAAACAATTTCCACACACTTCTCTTTGTTTTTTGCTGGACCAAGTCTTAGCATCCCAGATCAAGACTGAGCAAGAGACTTAATGGTGAAGCTGACTTCATTACAGGTCAGCTGTTAGTCACCCATCTCTTGTATACAGTTTGAGACCTGTTCAGCGTAGCAAGACAGTCCAGTTTCCAAAACAATTTTCACACACTTCTCTTTGTTTTTTGGTGGACCAAGTCTTAGCATCCCAGATCAAGACTGAGCAAGAGACTTAATGGTGAAGCTGACTCCATTATGGATCAGCTGTTAGTCACCCATCTCTTGTATACAGTTCAAGACCTGTTCAGCGCAGCAAGACAGTCCAGTTTCCAAAACAATTTTCACACACTTCTCTTTGTTTTTTGGTAGACCAAGTTGTCGCATCACAGATCAAGACTGAGGAAGAGGCTTTATGGGTGAAGCCATGTGGGTCAGCCATTAGTCACCCATCTTTTGCAAACAGTTCAAGATCCTTTCAGCTTTCTGTCACTTCTCTTTTCTTTTCTGTAGACTCAGGATTTTTTTAAGTTGCAGGTACAAGTTTAACAACCAGCCAAAGATAAGCACTTCTGTTACCTAGGAAAGAAACAATGAGAACTGGTTAATAACTATTAAAAATAAATTAATCATATCATGTTGAAAGTGCCTCAATACAGATACAGCTGTAGGCTTCTTGATTTAGAGAGCATGACAAAAATGGTAGAAAAAAATCACTTATTTAATTAACATGATATTGTATAGAAAGGGAATCTAGTAAGATCTGAAACAGTTATTTAATTATATCCCTCTAAACTGCAACCACTTTCAGATGCCATTATAGTGATAACTATTTAGATGAAAGGTAACTTGATTTGGGAAAAAGTAATCAAGGTTGTGACCCTTGAGAATTTGTTACGATGATACAAAAAATTTTGTAAAAAGCACCAAAATTTTAAAATTGTTTCCTCTCTCTGGTCCAATTAAGGCTGTACCAAAATATGCTTAATACTTCACATTAAACCATCATATAATAGAAATGTTGAGAAACAGACATCTGAGAAAGCAAGAGTCATCTCCAGTCTTAAAAGTTTATCTAGGGATCAAAATTAACAATTTTCATGCCCATACCAAGTGGCACACATAATTTTCTTTATTTTCAGTTACCTTATTGGAAAATATAGCAAGCAAAAAGTTGAACTGGTTAAATTTTTCATTTAGAGCCAAAAGTGGGTTTGTGGATAAGTTCATCAACAAATTGACTGAAAATCACCAGAAATTTAGACAAACAAAAAAAGACAGATTTTCAGCTTACATTAGCCTGTAAGATGTGCTCTCATTGGCACTGTAACAGGAGTTATGAAGGCATTTTTTTTTTTGCATATTTTTGTTTGGGTAACAAAGTTGATACAGTAGTCAGGTAGCTAAGGCCCACACAAGCCATGACTCAGTTGCCACAGTCATAAATGTTTTAAATCCCAAACTTTTTACCAAAGAGTGTTAATTTCCCCAGCCAAATGAATTTTCAAACATTTCCATAAATGAGTCCTGATAACGGCCTTGAACCTCCCCTCACACCCATCCTCTCTACCCATAACATGGAAACATGATTGATTTTGTAAGAAACCCAACATCAGCTTGTCATTTAGTTTTTAGCAGTCAAAACTCAAATTTAAAGCTTCAAGATTTGAACAAAGTTAAAGCTTAAAATGGAAACACGAAGAGCGTAACTTCTTGGAGCCTGTCCTTGCATGTGGGATCAATGAAATAGCACATGTAGTGCATATGAGATCAGGGCTTGTACCCTTTTTCAGAAACAATTTTCTCGAGATTAATTCCGATTTCCAGATTATTAACACTTTCAAAGATCAATAGTCTTTTTCCAGGACTTTTCAGACCTGGAAAATCCCATTAAAAAATTCAAGGCTTTCCACGTTTTCCAGATCACATATGGGATCCCTAGAAATACGAATGTCATTCTTAGTATGCAAAATAGCACAAGAAATTCTGCAATTCAGCCTTTTTGAATAATAATATTACAACTGATCCCAAACCGTTATTATACAATGTCCTGAAGCTAATACTTTCAATAAATTGCTCTTATGAGCATCGTATAATTTGTTTGAACAGTTAAGGTGCTTTTAAAAAACTCTTGCAGCTTACCATATGATTGTGAACATGTAAACAAACTTTGGAAGGGACCTTGGCGTCGAAGTACACTGTAAACAAAGATAAAATATTTGACTCTGTAAGCAAGAATACGTTTACATTCCTAATAAAGTAAAATTTCAGGATCAAATAGCCTTGAAATTTGGGTACAAACCTTTCAAAGTAGAGAGAGTATTCAAAGACATTCATCATGCCGACGAGCGGTGCTGCACCCGCAAAGACATATGGGTAATTTTAGCGGTCTGAGAGGGAGTAGATAATCGAACGGATAGTAAATGACTGTCAGATAAACTTCAACTAAAGAACATTGCAGGAAAGGAAGTCTGAAACATTCACGCTTCAAATGTTGCCTGCAGGATACTTACTGGACACGCTGTTACTAATAACTAAGCGAGCAAGGCACACGATGGACGCGAGGCAAATTTTGAGGATTCTTGCTCATCGTAAGGTAAAGTTATAAAAAGTAAAGAATTAAATCATATTTGAGCTTTGGATAAAATAAAATGACAAAAAAAGATTATTAATAAGCCATATTCAACGCGAACAAAGCCCCTGTTTTAAAGCGAAGGCAATCACAAGGATTTTGACGTGATAAGGATTTTCACAAAAATAGTTTCGCACTTAGCCTCATTTTACAGGTGAGATTTTTGAAGTGAGGTGAAGGTCTAATATCTATGTAGTTTAATATTCACTGTTTTAAATGGAGTCATCTACAGAGCCTATTATAGGATTGAAATAACATCTTTACACCGCATCTTGCACCTATTGATAATAAATCCTTCTGGCTCTCATGTAGCTTAGTGTCATGAAAGGTTTGCCATTTCAGCCCATTTTCAGACGGCACTCGTTAAACGTAAATCCTCTTAGGACACAAATACTGTGTCATAATCACAGCATGATTGTTGTCTGTTTTGGATAAGCTGTGGAACTTGTAAGTTGTTATAAGATTTCGTGTACTGTAATGATCATTCATTCGAACTCACCAGGACTGCGAGGTCGTTCATACGCTCTGTAGCCGGAGGAAGTCTTCCTCCCGTCGGGGCGTAGTAAATCGGAACGCGAACGGTTTTTACTTTATTGCTGAGAAACCCTACAGTTTGGTAAGAGAGTAACAATGGAAGTGGAAGGGGTGTTGTGAGAAAGGGGAGGGGGGGAGGGAGAGAAAGACTCTTCCCTTCAATGGAACTCGCCTTCTCAAAACAAGGAACTTGGATAGAATGCGTGCGCACCACTTTCAAACTCAGGGTGATTTACCGTCGTGGCAGTTACAAGAAGAATATGATAATATATCTGTTCGTCACTCAGAAAAGTTCGCTTGTATAAAAATTAAATACAGGACAAGAAATGAACAAAATGTTAATTTCTTTGTAACGAATAAAAAATTAAAATTTTTATTTTTTTTCGCGTTGAAGTACTTGGGCCATGCAAAATTACTTGAGAAAAGGGATTATCATGGTTTCCATGGTGATATTGTTCATTTTCTGTGCCCAAGAGCAAACATAAATAAGCGTCAGTAGACCAAGAGATGGCGTTTTCTTCACATAGACTGATGACGAAGCCTTTCTCTTTCGAATGCGTTCGTTACGTGATATCCTAAAGTGTCGAAACCCACATAGGGCTGATCCTTTCATGAGACAAACTGATTCTTCATTATCTCATTGATTGATCGAATCCTTCAATTCTTTTGCTGATCAACAGAAAAAGTAAGTGGAGTGCAGGACTTCGTTGATGTCAAAATCACCTGAAAGATCGTGAAAAAGAGAAAAGGATTACAACTAGATCAGTCATTTTTAAAGCAGAGAGAAAAGCTCTCTTTTAATGATATCACTCTAGCTGTAAGGCCATTAGAAAATTTTCGGCAGGAGCAAGGATAGGGTGAGGTACAAACAAAAAATTAGTGTAAGGAAAAAATAACCCCCTTCCTCTCCCCCCAGGTTAAAAAAAAAAAGGCGCGGGTGGCCCAAAGAGACACCTTCTCTTGAAAAAGAGTCGCGATGATAATCGCCAATGTTAAAGTTTATTGAAGAATCGTGATGGTGTACAATAAAACTAAGAAAAAAATCATCTCCAGAATGCTCATTTGCACTTGTATCAGGATAACTTCTGTGACGCCGTTCAAAAACTTACCAAGTTCAGGTCGTCCATCAAATGATACGCGCGTTCTTTCCACTTTCGAGTTTTTCGATTTCAACGGACGATTAAGCCTGTAACAAAAGTGTCTTGTTAATTAAGCGTCAAAATAAAATAAACCAAAAAAATTCCTGTCCCAACCGCGAACAGTCCTTCCTTTTCGGAAGTCAAAAAAGAGTTGATGTTAGTGCGTCTAATACAAAGAGTTCTGCGCGACGCGCAAACATCGATCTTTTTCCCTGAATTTTTTGGACCCGTGCGATGGACTTCGCCGAAAAAAGGGAATAATCGTAGTCTAGTCTCAATGTTACATGTTCAGCTAAGCAACGACAAGACAGCCACGAACACAACGGGTTAACGCAGTTCTTCAGGCTGTAACCTTGGATTGATAAGATACTGCAGAGTAAGAGACGTAACGAGAAACAATTATCTTACTTCAAATTAGCATAATTCTTCTCGAAGTGGTTTTGAAGTTCCTCAAGAATGGGTTCCCTGTGGAGTGTGACAAACTGCTCGCGGCAAATCTGAAAAAGGCAAAACAATTATCAGTCAGTCAATCAATCAATCAATCTGTCGGTTTATTAATAAATCAGTCTGGTTGTCCGCCAGTCATCTTTCACTCAGTCAGTTAGTCAGCCAGTCTTACAGTAAGTCAGTCAGCCGATCATTCTTTCACTCATTCAGTTAGTTGGTCAGACAGTCAGCCAGTCATTCTTTCACTCCGTCAGTCGACAGGCAGTCAGTCATTCTTCTACTCAATCACTAGGTTGGTCAGTCAGTCATTCATTCACTCAGTCATCAGTCAGTCATTATTTCCCTCTGGCAGTCAATCAGTCAGTCAGTTATTCGGTCGGTCATTCTTTCGCTCAGTCGGTCTGTTTGTCAGCCAGTCAATCTTTCCCTAGGGGAGCCAGTCAGTAAAAAAAAAACCAACAAATATGAATACCAATAAATTAACTAAATTAAGAATATACAACAATTTTAATAGAGTACATTCTTTGTCACAAAGCAGATGACAAACCGACGTATCCAAACATTTTTAGATAAACTCCTCCGCGATGTAAAATCTCCTAAAAAAAAAGAAGCCAATGCAGGTACAACAGAACAATAGAACTTACAGAACTTGCTCAAAAAGAACTACATAGGACTAGCATGCACAGTAAACAACCCTATTTAAAGTTAAGTTCATTAAAATTTACTCCTCCTCGTCGAGAGCAGTGAGAGTTTTGCAATGCCTTCAAATCCAACCCAACAAATAAAAGAGCCCGTTCATCTGGGTAACCTTAAGAAAATGTTAATCCTTTGTGAGCAGCATTTGTGACCTGAGATTACCATTCCGAAGACATGTGGTGCTCCATGCTCGCATGTTCACGCAGTTCTAACATGCGCATTTAATGAGTATACTTTATAGCTGTAACAGAGAATGATGCGAAAGTACTATTCTGGCAAAAATTATATTCTGGGATTCCCCTAAATAAGGTCCCTGCTTGGTTGTCAATTCCGTTTAACTTACTCGATTCATGACACCCACGTTGGCCGCATGGGTCCAGAAGCTGTCATGCACAGACGCGAAAGTCGACCCAGACCGCTGACAATACAGCGCGGTAAGCATCATGTGCGTGGAGTCTAGGGAATGAACGAAATTTGGCGGGAAGGCCCCGCGCTGTTTCCGCGAGTCGGGCGGAATATCAGGAAGCCCTTTCACTTTTAGCAGCAACCACTGAAGATTAGTTTTTATGGAGTGTCTAACAGGCTTTTTGCAGTAAGGTTGTCTGACATACAGGCCCAGGGGAGTGTACCAGTCTACATAGTGACCAACTAAGGCGATTTGTGTGGCTGATGAAGCAAACCAGTTCTGCAAGAAAAAGAATTAACTTGTAATTAGCATAAAAACATAAAATAAAATAATAAAAAACCTAAAAGCTTACTAGAAAGTGTCTCTATTCCCTGGGTTAAATTAAGGACACATGAAGTAGATTTAAATCGACACTGTTTCAGCCTTTAACTCCCAAGATCTCATTAGTAATTCTCCTTACTGTCTGCCTTAAAATTCTTATGTTAGTTATGAGAATTCGTCGTTGGATCAACTAATAATCCCCAAATTGATACTCTTCTTTATTCTCATGACTGGACTGCTTGGTATTGTATTGATACAGTTGGGAGAAATTCAGTCTTGGTCACTCGTGGGAGACATCATGGGGTTAAGTAAGTCTCAGGATGTGTAGGTCTCATCTATTTTTTGCCAACCTGAGACCAACTAAGAGTCCTTTACCTTTCATGATCATTACAACGCAGCTCAGTTAATGCAGTAACAGCCCAAGAATGTTTGCAATCCTCACGAAATGTTTCTTCGTATGGCACTGGACTTAGTTTGCAAAAATATTTCTCAAAAACGGTAAAAATGGTACAAAATGGAAAAAAATGGTAAAAAAACGATAAATCTCTGTTCTCTGAGTTCTGCATCTCACGCGAAGGCTGGGGAAAACAAAATCACTTTTCAATTCGCGTAGTGTTCACCAAGTATCTCTAAAACAAAACCAACCTGAATGGCACTTGCTGCTGTAAACATCTCTCCGATGCTGGCAAAAACCTTGTTCACCAGGTAATGAGAACATTTAAAAACCAGCTTCGGGTCCATATCTAAGTCTCGCAATTGTCTCTCGATCTGTAGTCGGCCGCCGACGAAAGTGACGCCGTAAACGATAGTCATCACTGTTTGTTTAACCACTTTGCGCGTGACTTTTCCTTCCAGGTCCTTAGCAATTTCGTTACCGTCGGCAGCGTCACGTGCTCGAGTTGCTTCGACAAGTTTTGCTACCTACAGGAGAGAAAACAAGTAATAGAACACATGTTGTGCAGTTTAGGGCATTTAGTCTGTTCTACACATATCAAGTTCCTAAACTCACAAACCAATGCTTCAATTTAAGTTGAAATGAACAATTTATATGGAGTGCCCAAGAAGAAAACCACAGTGTATGACCAGTCATAGGAAGAGTCTAAGAGAGAGAATCTAGAGAACCTTGAGAGGAACCATTTAAAACGAGAATGAAAAAAAAAATTGAACTTAAAATGACGCTAAGTTCGGAAAAACAACCTGGCCAAATTGGTTATTGGCGAGCGCTCACCGTAATATGCTAACAGCCTTAATGCGAGGCTCAGTGAGTACGCACCTTAAGCAACCCAAGACGGCAATGGAAAGGAAAACGTGGCGATACAAAAGATCAAATGAGTAGAACAATAGCTAAGTAGGTGTGCTTTAGAATTTTGTACATTTCTAAGCCGTCCTCGTTACTACAACAACAAGAAATCAACACAGTTTCCGTGCTCTGTGTACGGTAAGCCAAACGGCAAATTATTTAAGTTTCTAAATGGATTTCAACGCTGTTCACATACGTTAAACTGAAGTTGAGGTGTGGCGCCGTTAGAGACGGTAAACACAGTCAGCCATTTACGAAATTCGAACTATAAATTTAAATTCATTTTTGAATGGACTTTTCTGGCGTTGCCGTCCCTAATGTCCATCCACAGACACATTACTACCTTCACATATTATTTACAAGCTTCTGTTAAGACTTAACGCGATTAATGTTAAAGGTAGTTTTAACCATTTTACTCCCATGACATCTGGACGGAATTTCTACGCACAAGTAATGAGAATAGAGACAAAAATATCACTTATGGGGTTATTAGTTCATCCAATACCAAATTCTCCGAAGTAACATCACGAGAATTTTATAGCAGACAGTAAGGAGAATTACTTATGAGATCTACGGAGTGAAAGGTTTAAAACAATCTTAGTTGGCGAAAGAACGGTTTGTTTTAAAATACCTCCTCGTAAACATCTTGAGGTCGATCAGCAGGCATCAGATTGACTTGCTTTGCGCCATAACTATCATGGCCCAGGGCAGCGTAGTGCTGCAAACCATTGCACGAACCATCCTGGTGCACTGGCTGATGGGAAATGTACTGCGCGGGGTCTGGGGACCGCATAGCGTCTACGATCTCCATGCAAGTGGCCAGCGTTTGCCACGGATCGTCAGCTGTCTTCCACCAGCCTCGACCCTGTAACGGGAAAGGAACGTTACCACCAAGGGCACAGATATGAAAAAATGCCTTATCTGAACATCAGTGTCAACCCTCGCTAAAGTGGAGAGAACCCTCTAAGTTCTTCTCGGCTTTCATAGAACCAAACAATAAGCAAAAGTAAAAATAAAACAAAACCAATGTAATCCTGGATTATTACGAGCACTTATTGAAATTCGCTCTCATTGTAATTTTGCAGGAAAATATACATCACTTAAAATTGTAGAGAATTTGCTATCAGATCCCAAAAGCTCATTGAATTTCGAGACGACAGCTTCTTGATCAACGTCCGCTACAGCTGATAGGTTAACTTTCACCCTCGATAACCAATCAGAATTCTTCTCTGCTCTTGGTGTATTTACCATCAGAGGGTTTTCAGCAGAATCCACTATATCATCCATGATCTCATTGGCGTAATCCAAACGTTCTTGCAAAGAAGATTTCTTCTTGGCACCGTGCAACGTCACTAAATGTATTTTGAGCCAGTCCAGGCCCTTCTCTCCCAGAGGAACTCCTTTAGCGAACTGAAGCATTCCTCTGCTTAAGTCATCCCCTTAACAGAGACAAAGTTAATAAAATTAAGGTTAAGAAGGAAAACGCCCACAAACGAAATGATAAGAAGAAAAATAATCGTATCAAAAAAATCTGGTATCAAAGCCTTGATACCAGACACAGGGATTGTTCGAAATTATTGATGCGGAGGAAAAAATTCACCGTCTATCTTATTCGGTTTAACCTTTACACCTTACATCAGTAATCATATTCTCCATACTATTCTTTATACATTTCCTAAGGTGCTAAAAAGGAGAATTTGTGAAACATTCAACAGCTTCGTCAAATGGTTTGACTCAGGGATGATATGGTAAGCAGAAATTAGAAGCTAGTCAGTCTTAGATTTAAGGGTTAAAGGTACTTTTCCAATGGACGAGTGAAACCTGATGCGTTTCGAACCCACAAGTAGAGTGTGTGATGCAGAAAATGACCCAAATGTTTTTCGTAACGTACAAAAGCAGAATAAGTACTCACCGACATGCGCACAATGTGGGGGAATGGGATACACTCTTCCTCGAAAGTCCAGATTGATTGGCAGCCAGAACACGTGATCACGAAAATGATTTGCGACAGAAAGTTTATACAGCGCGGACATGCGCAGAGAATATTGTTCACGAGCCACCTTCTTAGCTAATCTCCTCTCACGTACCAATTTGTTTTTCTCTTGTAAATCGTCTGTCCTGAGGAATGAATGATACAGACTGTGAGAGGTACGATGTATTGAATTAATAAAACCTATGTAAAAATATCTCATAATTCAATGAAAATTTCTAGTATGGTTCCACATAGACAAAAGTTCATCCAACCTGCAATTAAACATTTCACCCAACAAAGAGTGAAATGAAAGGAAATGATGAAAGCCTCTAACAGAACATAAATAAGAGTTTCGTTTTTTAATACTTTTTCAAAATCAGGAAACCAGTTTACGGTATTTTATATATTTAATTCAACATCAACAGCTGGAAATAATTGACTCTCTAGAGAGATTATCGCATTATGTACGCGACTCTTGCACAAAAGGGTCTATTTTTACTAAAATTTTTCAAGGTTTCATTGCTGAAAAAACTGAAGAAAGTTAAAAACCATGTCAACAGTAACCTTTTCTTCAAAGTTAACCAAAATCTACAAACCAAACTTAAATTTACTCTAAGCCAAGGTTAACTCGACCGCATTTTGAACAACCTGGCCATGAACCAACACTCACTTGGATGATATGGAATCCACTTCCGGTTGAATAACAGGCCCTGGTACTGCTAAGTCCTCATTTCCGCCGTTGTTGAACATGTGGATGGCAAGATCTAAGATTCGTTTGTTTGTTCTCCATGCACATCCTCCAAGAAAATTCAGCGAGTCAAATATGGCCACCAAATCCTCTTTGTTTGTCTTTTCTTCCAGAAGTTTGTCATATTGACCATCTTCATCGCCGGTGCTGCGAATGAGCTCAACTGTGAAAAAAACACAACGAATGATTGGTTTTTTTATCATTATCCTCAAACAGACAAATCAACTTTGGGAAAGGACTGACTTTGTCTCCTTCACAGCCGTTGTTTAGTCTTGTCACGCAACGCGTTCTCTTCCAGGTGTGAAAGAGAGCGGTTGCGTGACGAGACCAAACAACGGTTGTGAAGGAGACTGAGACAGACTTAGACTGATCAATGGATAGCCTCCTCCGCAGCCGTTAATCGGGATGTCACGATATGCTCCACCTATATATCTGAATATCTACTTATCTAAAATGTTTTCGATGTACTTAAAAGGGATGGTCATAAGAGTCCCTAACATGGCATTTTTTTGATGAATGAATTGATAAAATCATAATTTTTAGGAATATCTCAAATATTTTTCAAACCTGGTAAAATGAGGTAAGCCCCATCCTTAGTAGCACGCCAAGGCCGAGGTGGCACCAACATTGGCACTGAGGTTGTTTCCATGGAAATCTCCCCTTGCTTTGCCAGGTACCCCTTGAACAATTTGCAAACTATTGGATGAGGTTTCAACACTCCATACCTCTTGTCCATTTTAAATTCATACGTGTGATAAAAAGCTGGAAGCATCTTCTCAGGACCATTGTTGAAGAGATTTACATTGATTTGCGCTGTCTTGAGGAAGCATTCTACCAGTGAACAGCCAAACTGAAGAAGTATGCAATATTTGATGGTGTCAATAATATATCATAGATCAGCAAAACACTTCATAATAACTTAGAAAATAGCATCTAATACTCAACCCTAAGAGTCCCTAGCATCTAATTTCTCTTTACAGTATACTGCTGAAGCATTCATTAAGATCATGAGAATACAGGAAATGATTCCCAGCCTACAAAGCTTTGATTGTTCAACAAATTCTCCTTGTCAGTACCAAAGGAAATGTATAGAGTAGAGTATGGAGAAAATGGACAATGATGTTAAGGTGTAAAGGGTTATTTGCCATTCAGGTTCAAAGTGGGGAAGGAGGCACTTAAACCCTTTAACTCCCATGAGTGACCAAGACAGAATTTCTCCTCACAATATCAATACAATATCAAGCAGACAAGTGATGAGAATAAAGAAAAATATAAATTAAGGGAATATAAGTTGATCCAATACCAAATTCTCCAAACAAACATCATGAGAACTGTATGGCAGACACTAACTAAGGAGAACTACTAATGGAATCTTGGGAGTTAAAGGGTTGAGTTTGAACAAGAACTCCTTAAATCAAAGGACTTTGTCAAGGAATGCATCTCACTGACCAGCCAGAGGATACTTTTACCACTGACTGAAATTCATTGTAGGGAAACTCTCCAATGATAGAGTGTTCAGCTACTCCTAAACGTAGTTACTTTTGATAATAATGCCGTCAGTGTTTAGAAACACTGATCTGAATCAAAGAATTAAAGAATTGTGTTTCATGTACATACCACAACTTTTGCTGCCCAAGGCCAGTTTGGAACATCCTGTTCCAATGATCCTCCAAGTGGTAACATATCATCCATCTCATCCCAAAACTCACGTGCCATCTTTGTTGCCATAACTTTTTCATCCATTAAATATGAGAAATAGTCAAGATATATGGCTTTCATCTGAAAGATTAAAATAGCACATTAAAAAAAACCTAAACATTCCATGCTACTCAGCTTCCCTTGAAAACTTCACCAGACAAAACAAAACACTTCTTGTTTTCAAAATCCCCTTATTTTTTGCAATTATTTAGTACTGATTATCACGGAATTTAGAAGCGAGAGAATGGTGTCAAGAAATAGGAGAAAGTGCTTCCTAACAAATACACTGTAGATTCCATGCTATTATGGGTCTACTCTGAAATCTGAAAAAAAAAGCTAAGGCATCAAAATTTGACCAGGGAATTCTGCATAACAGCTTGGGAATCATAAACAAAATAATGATTAACTGTATTTTGCTAGAGGGCTTGAACTCTCATATTTGATTGAGTATTGTAAGTATGATTAACTCATACAGGGGCATAGCCAGCTTCTCCCCTTGTTGCACACGTAGGCCTGTACCCTAAGAAAGTTCAATTTTTGTTTCAAACTTTGCAAGACTCGTATTCTAAAAGTTAAGAAGGAGGTAAAAAATTTTAGGCCTGGGCTTAGAGGTCCATAGGCTGGCCACTACCCTGACATACTAAGTAAATCAGTTCAATGTACCTTGTCTAACATCCCTGACTGCACTCTGTGTTTCACAATGTATTTTGTATTGAGCACTGAACCTAATTCTCCACTGATACCATACAAAGGCACCCCTTCAATGCGCCCTTTGACATAAAACACAATGGTGTCCAAAATGATGTCTGCAAGCTCATCAGGTTCAAAGACTTGGAAGAACGAAGCATGCTTTGGAGGTATGCGATTTCCTGTGGAAAAATAATAAATCTTGTTCAAAACAATTGTCTACAAGTATGTACAAGTACCTAGAATGCTAGAGTAAATACTTAACCCTTTAACTCCCGTGAGTGATCAAGACAGACTTTCTCCTTACTACATCTATACAATATCATGCAGACAAGTGACGAGAAGAAAGAAAAATGTCACTTATGGGATTACTAAGTGATCCAATACCAAATTCTCCAAAGTAACATAATGAGAATCAATTAGCAGGCAGTGAGGAGTCTTGGGAGTTAAAGGGTTAAATTTGATCATAAGTCATCAAATTTCAACACTGAATACCAATTAAAGGACTCAGTAAACTTTCAATCCTTTGACTCTTAATAGTGCCTGGTACAATGTATTTTAATCTTTCAGTACAATATCACCCCCAAATCAAACATTAAGGTTGCAAGAATAAAGGATATGATCACTAACTATAAAGCTCTTGATTGTTAAACAAATTCTCCTTGTCAACACCTTAGGAAATGCATAAAAACCAGTAAGGAGAATATGCATACTGATGTTTGGGTGTAAAGGGATAAGAGTAAGATGGATCAGTTTTAGCTTTTCTCATCTCAGTATAGAGTAGAAGGGGGAGGAAAGAAGATTGTGTTGATTAAGTCAGCAGCTATAGAGCAGTACGTAAGTCTCACATAATTATAATTTGATCGCAAAAAAAGCATGAAATATAATAATTTAGCTAAATAGTTTACAAACAACTGCCTGAAAGTACATGTATGCTCTCTTCTAAATATATGTATGGCATGTGGACATTGCACGTTTTGAGATGCAAACAGTTTTCTGTGGGTGAACCTCAAGGAACACTGTGAGCTTCCTGCAACAGACATTGGTCAGGGATAGATTTCTGGGATAAATTTCAAGCTAAATGAAGGCGGTTGTGATGATTGCCCTTTAAATATTTTCCCAGCATATGAAACCAAATGTTTGAAAACAGCTAACAGTATGGATGAAAATGGATATTGGCTTTGCAGAGCAACTTTACAAATGAACAAGTATTTCTCTTCATCTCCAACAACTGCAAAATGCTCTCTACACATGAATTAGCTCTTGTAGGAATAAGTTCATCACGTGGGATGTAAGTTTAGAAAATTGTATATCACAGAACAGCGAACAAAAAAATATTGAATGGATGTTAAAATCCTCACACCTCTTGAGTATCTGGTTTTGTACATTTCATTGTCAAAGGTCTTGATGAGGGCTTCCTTCCACTTGCTACGACAGTCCAAGAACATTTCCTTCAGCCTCTGGTTTTCTGTATTCTGTTCCTTGTTATCTTCAATTGACATGATTGGTGTGAATCCTGAAAGTTCCCTCGATATTTGTTCCTCAAAGAGCTCTTGAAGTCTGGATTCATCTAGTTCTCTTTCAAGTTTACCAGGGACACTTTTCAGTTTAATATCCAAGTTGTCCCTGTCAGAATACCACAATTTTAACAGAGATGGGTATCTGATCTGATTATGTGCTTCCTTAACAACTGGTTGGAAGTGAGGATCCACAAGTTTTATTGCATTAGAAACTCCCTTGGCCTGAGGTTCTGTCAGGCAGCATTTTATGAATATATTGTTGACATCAAATTCCTGTGGACAACACAAAGTATCTAAGTCACAAATGCTAGTAATAAATCAATCCCAAGCAATCAAACCCACAGCCCAGCTTTTGTTGTCATCTATCATAATTGAAATTGGTGTTTAAAAGCAGAGAAACACAAATAACATAACATTATGTAGAAACAACCTCTTGAACCCTCCAAAAGCAGCACAAGTATTTGGTAAGTACTAATTTTTACAGATGTTTTGAGTAATCCTAATTCCACAGAAGTTCCTGCACAAAAAAACCCTGGAAAGTAAAACGATTCAAAAATTTTCCATGTATCTTCAATCCAACAAAATAAATAAATAAATAAATAAAAAAAACTGGATGGGAATTAGGTGCCAAATTGCAATCTTCCTTTTCAAATTTACATAAGTATTATAGAATTGTCATGACCAAATTCCTACAAATGTACATGCAAGTGAACAGTGCTATTAACCCTTCCATTTCCAAGATCTCATGTTGTTACTTCACAGATTTTGGTATTGGATCAATTGATAATCCTCTCACTGATATTTTTCTCTATTCTCATCACATGTCTGTTTGATATTGTATCATTGTTGCAAAGAAATTCTGTCTTGGTAATTCATGTGAGTTAATAGGCTAACACCTATAAAAAATAATGCACAGGTATTGTACTAACAAATGTGAATACATGAAATCATATATGTGAACTGTGGTTTTTAAGAAATGAAGATGAAAGTGATCTTTGCAGTTATGAACACTACTTATAAACAGTAATTGTAAAAATAAAAGCCAAAAAAATTTATCCCATACAGGCCTGAAGTTTTTCTTAAGGCCTTATTTTTACTACTGCTAATGCGAAGATCACTTTCATATTCAGGTATTGCACTGTTTGACTGAAGACACATGTACATGTAAGTACAAGTTGTATTCATTTGCTAACCTTTTGTTTCATTTCATCAAGAATTGTTTGCACTCCTTCTTTATTGCCATATTTTCCATAGCCATGTAGCAATGCAGCATATGTTCCCATGTCAGGTTCTAGTCCTTCAGTGTTCAATAAATTCCACAAAAACTTGATGCTCATGATGTTGCCTTTCTGAGCCCAACCATGAAGCAATTTGTTGAAAGTGTCAACTTCAAACCGTTTACCCATTCGCAAATATCTGTTGAACAACTTTTCTGCTTCCTTAGGCTAGGGAGTGAAAAGGGCACTGATCAGTACATCCAAGTATATTGAAACCTTCAAAACATTTTATGCCAAAAAAAAAATGATATACCGCTATGTAGATTGTGTAGTTTGCTGTGATATATTTCATCTTACCTCAAATCGACGTTTAGGAATGATCAGTATGCACATTTTAAGGCCCCCTTCGACACATTAATTCTAGCTGACCAACCAGTCAATTTGAAAACATATACAGACAGTACAATTTTTAATTCCACTAAAACAGTAGCCACAATTTTGAAATTATGGATCTGATTGGAAATACACATGTAGTATAATTGCAGTATATGATCCCACATCAGGTTTGTGTCCTTTGTTATTCAACAAACCACATGAAAAATTGATTTTTACACACAGTACATAATGTTTCTAACTGTTCTCAAATGAAACAGAATGTTGATTAAAATTAGAATGGGACACCCTTGGTTAAAACAGAGGGCAAGCAGTATCAGAGGGTGAGTGGTCTAAAAGTAGTGACAGTTAGTCAAGTCTACTCTCAAGCTCGAAGGCCAACACTGTATGGGTTTACTCCAGTTAGGAGTAAACCGTAGGACTAAAGAATCTTTCCCACAAATACTAAACCATGACATGAAAACATGATGTTGACCCACTCCTTCCAAACTCAGGTGCCAAGCAAAGTAACTGTCAGATCCCTGAGTCTCCATCAAGAAGAATTACAAATTCAAACTCTGGTTGACAACTTACTTTTCCAAGGTAAAGGTATGCATCCATTTCAGCCAAAGTCTCCTCTTTGAACAATCTTCCTCCTGGAGTTCCGTCTTTGTATTTTGCAGGTCCTTCAAAATATTCTCCAGGTGCATTTCCACAGAGAGGTTTTGCCACATCCCCTTGTACTTCCACATTGCATACATGCTGATCAACGCTGCCGTCAATGTCCTCAAATTTACTTTGTTCATGGAAATGTTCCTCTGCTTCAATTAAAACAACCTCTGGACTATAATCTAAAGAGTGAGTTTCATTATCATTAATTACACCACTCACTGGAGAGGTTGTTGTTTCCATAATTTTTTTTGATGGATCAGATTTCTTCTTTGCTTTTGTATTGTTTGTTCCACTGAGCTGTCCTTTTCTATTTGTAACCGACACTTGATCCACTTTCTTTTTAGTGTTAAAGTCATCTTTACTCACATTTGGCCAAACAATATCAGTGCTTTGTCTTCTTGATTTTGCTTTGCTACTCTCTATTCCCTTAATTTTCTTCATTACAGGTAATGTTAATTTTGAAGCTGAACTCAGCTGATTTTTCACTTCATTACTGATTTCTTTGATAATGTTCTCATCTCCATTTGATTTCACAGTGTCATTCACTATTTTTACTGCCTCACTTTTCTTCACATTCTTTTTCTTTGTGTTATTTCCTGTGGCTTTAATTTTCTTCTTTGTGTGTGTTGGCTCGTTGTCAGTCGAAGACTCATAATTTGTAACCTGGATGGCATTTTGTTGTTGAAGAGGATATGCTTGAGTAGTAAACAGGCAAGTAAGCAGCTGATTACTTGACCTTGGCCCTAACAAGGTTTTCTTCAAGTTCCTCTTAGCTGCATTTAACAACATTAGACAGAGAAAGGTTAAAATGTACCAAACATAATACCACATCATACAAGTACAGATATCCATATTGATTAATGTATTTTGCACTTGAGGAACTTAGGACCTCTATAGGACACTGTGGTTAGAGATGTACAATAATGTATGCGTAGTTGGTTTAAATGCCGATATTATCGTTAGCCAGCACATTATTAACAAAAGTGCTATTTAAATTCATGTAATAACAAACCAATGAAGTTATGAATTACAACCACTTCACACTAAAATTAAACCCGGAGACAGAAGTAAATCTTCGCATTCAAAAAGACATACATGTAATCATAACGTAATTGCAAAGTAAGTGGTGTACATGTCACGATCGAACTAACACGTGTGAATGACACGATATTATGCATATTCTGATTAAATTCTGCTGTGATACAAAATCAATTTGCTTAGCTCCACGAGAATCTCCATTTCGTAATCGTTTAATTCACATTGCTTCGATTGGCACAAACTAGTCAGTAGTAGTAATGTAATGCACAACCAAGCTGCCAACACGTGAGGGTTGAAACACAAGAATATTCTAGTCTACAGAATTCTTACCTAAACACGTGGGCGCAAACTCTACGTTGTGATGTAGTAAAAAACAGGAGCTGAAGGAACTTCTTCCTGTCAATAAACGCTCCAAGGAATAACCTGCACCAAAGACTGGCCGATGTCGACGGCAAATCTGCAAAAACGCCATATTCACTCGCCATTTTCCATTCTGAGTCCGCAACAGCGATCAGTTGGGTATCAAAGTAATGTATAAGTACGTCATGTACGAGGACGCAAGCAATCCCGGTGACTGTAAGTACATATGGCTAAGTATTTGTCGAATCGAGGAGGAACCCCAGAAGTACAGGACAATTTTATAAGAAAATTTTCGTAGCGCTACAAATTATGCAGCTGGCTTGTGCGAGTTAATTTTGCAAAACCGCTTTGAAAATGATAAAGAATTCAGAATTCGCAAAATAAAATAACTTCAACCTTGGTCTACCCCCCATAGGATTGCCCGTTAGCTAGATAGAAGTGCTCGGAGTTGGATTTGGTTGGTTGGTTGGTTAGTTCGATTTAAAGATTTTTCCCTAAGAATCCAATGTTACTTTCTAACTGAATCAAAGCTGCCACCACTTCTTTTTCTCTTCTCTAAATTTTGCGTCCACTCAATAGACAATCAACCCAAATTGTTATGAACAGCTGTACTGCTGCGTTGAACCGTTTGGAAAGTTCCACCTGAAAATCTCATGTATTAAGGGGCACAGTTTTTTCTTCAGTGGGATTTAAACACCAACGACTCTATTAGCCTACATGTGGCCGTTCCCTCCCCCTCAGGGTGAAACGCTTCCGTGTCACCTTAAGGGAGTGGGAGGGTACAGTTACACGTAGGTTACGAGTACAAGAGGGAGATTTACAGAGTAAATCAAAGCAATTTGCACGGTTGTTTCGAATGTCCAAAGTAATCTGGGATTAAAGTGGTTTTATTTGACTTTGCTTTCCGATTGATCTAGAAAACTCGTGCCGCCCTCTCAACCAATCAGATGCTTAACCAAAACCAACCGCGAATTAGTCACTCGCATTTTCCCGCCCTCCAGGAAGCTTACCTTTGCAAATTTCCTCTGTTCTGGTTGGGGGTTGTGACTACTCGATCGAACTGCTCTCTGCTACTGACAAAAATATTTGAAAAGGCGAGGCAGACTTTTAAAACCCCAGACAAACGCCTACTTAAAAGTGTGCTTGTCGTTCTTCTTTTATTTGGCCTAAATACTTGCACTACATAATCTTCAACACACCCACAGACGTAAAAAATAAAGCTGAAACAATTCGTTTTTGAAACATGTTTACAACTCTAAAAACGAACACGTGTACATTAAAATAGGTACAGTTTATTTATACTAACACAAACAAAAGTAGAAAGCATCTCTACAATTTCCAATCCAACTTTTCACGCATTTCGCTCAATTTTCTATGGAACGTTCTTCATAGTGAAGGATGGGTATCCAATTATTCGTTAACAAATATATTGAGTCAAAGAACTACAATAAAGTTAATAACTAGAGATGCAAATTTATTGGAAACAGACTGGGCCGAGCTCGAATTTGACTGGCTTCTGTTGTGTGGTGGAAATGTCCTTCAAAGGAAGTAGGTCTTTTTGGTCGATGGAATGAACTTCGTTCTGGCCGCTCTGAAAATAAAAAAATTAATGTATTGAGATCTCGGATATCACAAACCGTCTAGGGCCCGCTTCCCCAGGAGTGAATTTTACCCCGGATATCTTAGAAACTTCGTTTCCTCGAGTCCTAATGAAATCAAGCCCAGGCCCACTTTCTCGTGAGTAAATTTTAACCTCAACATTTTGGTATCTCCGATCTTTCGAGTCCTAGATATATCACACTTGAGCTGCTCCCCTGGGTGTGGATTTTACCCCGGATATCACTTCGAGTCCTAAATATTTGGACACGCTTCTCAGAGGGAAAATTTTACCCTAGATATCTTTATTATATAGATATATCTATCTTCGATAGATATAACACACTTGGGCCTGCTTTCCCGGGAGGCCTTCTAAGGCTGGTTATTT